CATGACAATATTGATACCATCCACTCGATAATGCTCAAACAACGATCGCTAGATGATGAAACAATGAACTACTTTTTATCCACCTTTTTCCAGGCCAAGGTAGTGGAGAAAATGTTCATCGGATAAAAATGTTTAATAATTTAATCGTGGTAACTCAAAACTAAATTCAAACTCTTACATTTGTACGTATTTTCATATTCTAAAAGAAAGAGACTAAAAAAGAACTTTGCGCTAATGATGTTGTTCAGAATGACAATGAAATTTTCTTGACAAAACCATCTAGCTCACAGAACACAACGGTACCAAGATATAACTACTGTATGAACATTCTAACGAGAATAGGTCACAAATAGATGACAGTAAATCAGAGGAAACCTTTTTGGTGAACCATACAAAGGATATTCTTTAAATGGTCAAAACTGAAATGTACGTCTGACTGTGTATAATAAGCTGCTTTTATGAGCTAGTTTTCAGTCAAGTCACACGTCTACTTCCAGTAGGCCAACAGAAGTATGTAGTTATATCTAAGATGAGCTTAAATATCTTATCACTTTTTGGTAAACAATGACTTCACAGTTTTTTTATAATTTCAACTAACTTCAATTAGAATTTCAGTGAGTCATTATTTATATACACGCTGGTATTACTGAGTAACGGTCCAACTTGCTATACTTCACAGTAGTGTACAGAGAACAAGCGGATGGAAAAAAAACAGATATCAAACTAGACAAAGTTGTGTGAGAGAATAAAAAATTTGAAGATAACGGTTAGTGCAAATATTTTAGGCTTGAGAAAATGAAGAAAATGAATACATCTGTGCCACTGTGACCGACTTCCAGTTTTGTCAACAAGAGTACTCAACCACTGATTTTTTTTTTCCACATCAGCGCATCAAGATATAAAACATCAACGGAATGGAAATGACGTAATCAAAAACCAATGAAAGTGATAGTAGAAGAAGGTAGGATTGAGACATAACGGGAAGTGATATAACGGTTAAGATTAAGATGGGGTGTAAAAAAATATGCACCTGTGAAACCGACTCTCAGCCTTATTCCGTAGAGTCACTAACGTTGGTTTCTGCGGTGATAAAGTATCAACTGCAGTTGTAACTTTATTATCATTCAAATTCCTCATAACCAGTATCAGTCTTCCACAGAGCTGCCTTCTTATCTTTTTCCACACTTCTCTGCTAAGAATTCTAAATGATCTTGTACTTTTTTTAACGCCGCATCTCATGATAAAAATTCGAATTGACGGAATAGTATTTTCATTTTCCTGAAACTACGATATAAATTACATATTCCGGCTTCCAATTTCGGCATATTTTTATCAAATTGAACAGCAAATGGTTAACCGAAACTCAAAAATATTGTTAAAAGCTGAAGAATACTGTGACAAGCTTATTGATGGCAGTTCGAATAAAGTAAAAGGTAAGTTTTACTTTAAAATGCCTACGTGAAATTCACTGTAGAGTTAGTTAATGAGTTAAGAATACTTAAAAATTTCAAAATTATTAAAAATGAGCGAACAAATAAAGAAAATACAAATGTGTATCTTAAAGGTATGTGAAGATTGATAGTTCACTAGACAATAACTGACAAGACATATCATCGTCTAGATCTACATAGATAATATTTATGTAACAGTGAAAAATATGCATTTACGCCACAAGATAGTTTCTGTTTCAATGAGATCCAAGTTAATAATGATACTTATAGCTTTCAGTGAACTGATGAGAAAAAGCGACCATATATAGCCGATTTTAAGTCTTATCTCCATTCACCAATGGATGTTGCGAAGAGACCAATAAAATCATATGCATGCTTGTAGTAGTGTTACTGAAATTCAATTTAGATTAACAGACTTTTGAAGAAGACATGTATATTCCCTCCTAATGCAAGTACTATGAAGAAATATCTAATTTGTTCAACGAATCTTAATGATGTTTCCAAAGCATTTAAGTATCAGTAAGATGGAATGAATTTTAGATTAGTCTATGCTATTTGTGGGATAGTTTATTGCTACTGTATACAAGATATGGTAACCTAATAATTTGCATTTCCCTCCCTATCACCGTATGCCACCACTGCCATTGAAACAACTTGTTGCATGTTCAATGAAATGTATTTTCACCTACGTGTCTGAAAGGTGACTAGTGAAATTGTAGTTTCTTCTTGCGTCTACAAATTGCTTCAACATATCAAAACAACAGACATAATTTATCCATTGAAAAAATCAACTGAAATTATTAAGCATGGAAGAGGATTATGTTGATTAAAGTCTTTGTTGAGCATTTGTATACACTAGAAAACCATTGTAAAGTCAGTAGGGCTAAACGACTATTATTTCTGAGTTGGAAACTTTTAGTTGCACGCATTCATAATTTTATTTGAAATGCAGCTTAAGACTGTCTCAATTAGTTGATATTTGATCTTATGAGGAGAACATTCCAAGTTAAGGATTAATTTGGAATTCAATAGCTCACATCTTTCAACGACTGTCAATTCGCGTGCGATACAATGTGATGACCAAACAAAGTTATTAATTAGTATTGATTTCATGCAAACCATTTAATTTAACAACTATTTAGTGTCCAAACTGACTGGTTTCAAGAAAAAGGTTTTGAAGTTTATGAAATATGAGTTTAACTAAATGGGAGGTGATGGTGTATGGATAATATTGAATGATGGTCATCGTGTATGATGAATTAATAGAGATTAGAAAATGTAAACCAATGAATTCCAAACCAATAACCAAATAGTGGTGTGCTTGTACAAAAAGAGAAAAATAGTACTAGACCCAACCAAGTAGAAGGTTATAGATATGTATTGCTCAGAAGTCCCGAGATAGGATAAATTGGGTGTTTACTGCTACTGACTATTCTATGGCTCTCTAGTTGATATTGGTTATTGATGAAAACTTGTTATCAATCATTATATAAGAATTACCCAGAGTAAAAATGTTACTGAATCTGCATGATTCTACTTGACTAACCAACTGCTGGACCACTGATATCTGAAATTTAATGCGACTCATTAGAGAAGACTAAAAGTTGACATTTCCCTCATTTTAGTAAACCTTCTATTAATTATATAAATCAGCCAACTATGTAGCAAATAGTAAAATAAATGGTATGATCTTATTATATGGTGTCAATTGGTAAAATATTTCTATTTATTTATTTACCCTTTGAGTTCCTGTTTTTCTTTATACTACAGTTTAATAAACCTTAAAAGCTAAAATCCTTACGCTGTGTTTGAGAATCCTTTTTAAATAAAGAGACTAGATAACAGAATTTATCTCTTAACAGCAACTAAATAAATGGGTTAGGAAAGCAAAAACATTGTTACATTGACTGACATCTATCATCAATATATGTTTCAAAAATTCCTAGGTAATGACCACTATCTGAGACTCTAATCTATTCATGCTTTCCATGAAGGCGTTGAAATACCAAGTTTTAGAAAAATGTGCTGATACTTATTGACTTTTAGGAGATGATAACATTAGGTGACTTACTTGAATTGATAAACATAAGAAATAAAACACATTTCCAATAACCTCATGAGTAATAATGTCATATGAAAACAATAATGAAAATAATATCCACTCACCTTGTCCCTTAGATTATCGCCAATTCTGATATTTAGAGGGGATTCGTGAACAGAGTAAACCATAACTGATCTGAACGTCGTGCACCTTGGGGATAGTTGGTGTCAGTAAGAATAATTACATCAACTTCATACCACTTTGTTTTGTCAGAAATAACCTGACATTTTGAAGCATGACAAACAGAAAAATCCATACCTGTAGACGGAAAATGAACTCCATAGACAAGAATAGTCTTGTTCTATGTTGGAAAGTAAAAAAAAAGTTGAATGAGTTATACTCAAATTTAAATTTTTGCATTAAAGCGTGGAAAATTAAAACCACAGTTACTGAGTAAATCATAATTTATACAATTTTGAATATCTATGGCACTGCAGTATGACGCCTATGGACTTGTTCGTTATAAAGATAATTAAAATGTGACATTACTGCCTAGTGAAGCGATTACTGGAAACACATATTTTCGCCAAATTAAGCTATTTGCCATTAAAAGACTAGATAACCATTAACTCATATCTTTGTACGTGACTTATCTATGATAAGAATGGAGGTAAACATTTACAACTCATGGCGTGGATGTTTAGAGTGGGTCGTTTCGCGAGTTGAAGAAACTCGCTCCACGACAGCATATAAACTTTTACTTCTTCATCACATGATCTCCTCCATATCACCCTCGGACGCCCAACTCCTCGTTTTCCACCTGCCTTTCACTCGAGAGCCTGGTGCGTGATATCCTCGAGTTGTATGCCCACTCCATCTCCACTTTCTTATGCGTCTTTGTTGGGAGATAGGCCCTGGGTTGGTTCATTGCCAGCCAGCCAGAGTTCCTGGTCGCTTTTTCTTATTATTCTGGCCATCTGATCGAGATTCAGTAACGAGTGAGTGTAGGCGGCAACTGTTGATGAATGTCTGTAGTTTGTTGGAAATGCTTTCCGTAACGCGCCAAGCCTCTCAACCATTACAAAGAAGCACTGACTTACTTGACTGAATTAGTGTTGAAAATCCAGATCTTGTTCATGCCTTATGCTGAGTGCAGTAGACCTCGACACTGATTTCAGTTTAATGAAGGCCTGTCTTGCTGTCTTTCGATCCTGGCTTTGACATCTTCATCTGTGCCACCCCCACCTGTAGTTGAAATGATGCTGCCTAGATGGTAGGTGAAAGAGACCACTTCCTTGAGGTTTCTCCCGTTGATAGTGATTGATGCTTGTTGTTGTTGATGGTTGGGTATCTTCATCACTTTCATCTTCTCTGCGCTCACTTGAAGTCCCGCCTTTGCTGCCTGGCCTCTTCTGTTAACTTGTTGGTTTTCGCCTGTAGATCTTCAAGCTTGTGCGATATTAGACAAATCATCAGCGAAATCGAAATCTTCTAGGGTCTTTTCATCGATCCGTCCGGCGTATGCCCCTCTTCTCGCTCCTCACGGCTTGCTGCATGATCCAGTCGACCACAATCAGGAAGATCATCGGTGATAGTAGGCGACAATCTTGTCTTACTCCTGTCTTCACTTCAAAGGCATCACTGAGCTTTCCATAGTGAATCACTCAGCATGTGGCGTCTTCATATAGCTGTTGGATGAAGTTCACAAAGGTTTGTGGTACTCCGTAGTGTTGAGGCAGCAGGTGCCAAATTACTTCTCGGTAGACGCTGTCGAAGACCTTTTCGAAATCGATAAAGTTGAGGTAGAAAGTTGACTGCAATTCTATGCTCCGTTCTATGACGATGCAAAGTTTAGTGTTGCAATTTGATCCGCACATGATTTGTACTTCCTGAAGCCAGCCTGTTCCGGTCGTAATTTTGAATGCAGCGCGTTGATTAGTCTCCTCAGGATGATGCGGCATAATATTTTGTTTGGGATAGACAGCAGCATGATTCCTCGCCAGTTCTTGCAGAGACTTAGGTCTCCCTTCTTTGGGAGTTTGACCAGGTACCCCTTCTTCCAATCAATCGGCAGGTACCTTCTTTTCCTTCCAAACTTCTGCAGTATTGATGTGAGCATGTCCTCTCTGTTGCCTCTGCGTCTGTTTTCAGTGCTTCTGGTGGAATTCCGTCTAGTCCTGCTGCCTTCCCAGACTTCAGCAGCTTAATAGCGTTCAGGACTTCACTTCTGCTTTTATCGGAGAGTTTGTGTTCACTGATAGTTCTGTGACTGGGCTGCTGTTGGTATTTCTGGATGAGTTGCAGGAGATGGTGGTCTATTCTAGAGTTTTTTGAAGTGGTCAACCCATCATTTCCTTAGTTTTCCTGTTTGGTAACTAGCTTTCCTTCACTATCTTTTCTGGTCTCATCTGTGTTGATCTCTTCTCAGATAGTAAGTAACCTGGTTATTTGATACAATGTTGTCAGGTCTCTGTCTCTCTTACCTGCAGCCTGTTCTACTTCACTTGCAAGTGTGTGCTAGAAGTGTCTTTTGTCTTTGCGCGCACTCTTCACTTCTTTTTCCAGTATAGTGTCTTATAGGTCGTGTTCAGTTCTTCTTTTCGTTGTTCATCCTTGCACTGGTTCATCTTCTGCTTCACCATCTTCCTCTCCCTGCTCTATCAGCTTCCATGTGTCTGTGGAGATCCCTTCCTTGTCTTGCCCCTTCTTCTTCCTTCCTAATACGGTTATGCAGGTTTCTTTCCACGTCTCTTTCAGAGAGTTCCAGTGTTCTTCCACACAGGTCCCTTCAGGGATACCTGCTTAATGTCTTCCATTTTGTCCTGATGACTGACTGACGTGAAGATGTCATCTGTAGTTTCCTCCTTCAGCTCAGTTTCTGTTCTAGGTGTTGAACTTGAACTGTGGTCTATCACCAACGTCTTTCAAGGCTTTCAACTTGATTTCGAATGCAAGTTCCTTGCACTTAATAGTGAAGTAAGTGGTGTGAACCTACATCTGCTCCTCATCTCAATTAATCTTGTGTCCAGTAGGCTGCGTCTCCACTTCCTTCACACTGCAATGCAGTCGATCTGATTTTTAGTGTGTCCTGGTTAAATCCATGTCACTTTGTGAATATTCTTGTGTTTGTACACACTACCTGACTCCAATCAACAAATCATTGAATGAGCAGCAGTCTGCAAACAGTTCTCTATCCTAATTCATCATTTCACTGAGTACTTCTCGACCCATGATTGGTTCTCTTTCTGTGTTGTCTGCTCCCAGTTTGGCATTCATGTCGCCCATTAGAATTTTGATGTCGCCAATTGGAGCCTTGTCCAGCGCTGATAGCAGTTGTCTGCAGAATTTCTCCTTCTTCTCTTGTGCATTATTTGTAGGTGCATAGGGTAGCATTGTATGATTGTGTCTTTCCTTCCTTTTGAGTTGAATCTTACTGTCATGATCCTGCAGGAGGAGATTGGTTCCCACTGCATGAGAGAGAGTATTTGGTGCTGTTGGTGACATCATGATAGCCACTCGAAAACTCAGTGTGGTCGTGGTTGTCGTCTGGGTGACAATATCGGAGTAGATTATTGACTCCCCAGTCAACAGTTCGGACAGTCCACTTTCATCCCATCTGTTCTCGCAGATTCCTAGCACTTCTCTGTCATATCTCCTCATCTCTTTTGCAGTCTGGGCAGCCTTGCTAGGTTCGAAGATTGTTCGAACATTCCATGTCCCTATTCTTACTTTCGCTTTCGTCGAGAGAAGACACATCGGCCGACTGGCTTCCCGAAGGCTTTCACCAACTGGCGTAATTTTGCCTCTCCGATTCCAGTTAGGAATAAATTTAATTTAATTTATTATATTTACTTTGTACTTTGAAGTTTCTTTAGCGGTTGCTAGCCTTATTCCCAACCTTCCCTCTTTATCCGGGCTTAGGACCGGCTAGTAACTCGTGAACTAGTTACCTAGGCGAGGTTTGGACACAATACTAGTCAAACTAATACATTGTGGTTATGACAAGAACATTTCCCCACCTTCTTATAGACTAGGAGGATCAATGAAGTACACAAGTCTGACGGCACTTTTTTTGATTCCTTTACGCTACCTAGTACCCCCGACATTTTGATTAGCGATTTCCCATTTCCATCTTTAAAACTTCAGGTGGCGAACTGTCAGATCCTACTGATTTGTATCATTTCAGGTTTGATACAGCCTTCTCAACTTCAAGGGGTGTTGGGTGACCGAAATCTAAGTACCATTGAGGTTCAGGCTGGATGTCGGGTGACCAAAGTGTTGCTGACGCCCAGTTGGACTCTGCTTCAGTGTTCTACCCCAAATTCTAGTCACCTGTCCTGTTAGCTGGTAAATCTTTTGTAATTACTCAAGCAGATAAAGGAAATAAAACAGGATTTCCAGACATAGCAATGTGTGATGAATATATGAATGAGAATTCAATAATAAAAAAATCATGCAAAACGACAATGAATAAAACTATGAAGTGAACAGTGAAAGTGGTGAAAGAAATAGAACCTGCAACCGATCAGTCTAAATGGTCTGAAATTACGCCTAAATTATCGAATACGCCTAGGTATTATGGTAAGGTGAAACTAAATGAAGAAGGTTATCCAATTAAACTAACATTAGATTTCAGGAATACACCTACATATAAGCTGTCAAATTACCTCACTCACATATTAGGACCAAAGAGAGACGATCCACAAAGGAGGTTATTAGACTTATGTGATTTATTGAAACGGCTTAAAGAAAAATAGAATCAAAGATGAAAAAATACTTGTTAGTTAGGCACCAGTACCCTGTAGCGTCAAATAATTCCCCGAAATCAATAGCCTAGACTGATTGATAGACAAAATCGGCGTAGAACCTTGTATATAGGTCCATCGGCCCAACTTGCCACACTTCACAGCAGTACACGAGGAACAGGTGGAAAGCAGATGAGTAATACCGAAGAGTAGTTGAGAGAATAGACAATATAAAGATAAAGGTAAGTGCAATTATTGAAGCCTGAGGTTCGACGAGATTCATAGTTTTGACCGACTTGCTAAGCTGAAAGTACACGGTCATGCATCCACGCCATTTGGCACGCTGTCGCGTTACGTTGCTCGTATGCGATGTCCTGGCCAAATATTCGATACGGGCTATCAGATATACTGTTCCATCTAGCTACTCTGTTATGTTCTTCCTCGGTCTTGGACTCGTGGGCATATAACAAGGACGAATAACTAGTGATGGCCTTTGTGTTTGCCAGGTTCGTGCAAGATTAATTCCTAAAAGCCTATACACAAAAATACTAATAGAAATGGCTGTGAATGGCCTAAAAAGATGAAAATCTAAGAGAAAGACAACGACTTTCGGAAGAAGATATATTGAGTGGAATAGAACTATGCTTAACAACAGCGTTCTTCACACTTGGTGGGAAGTAGTGCTAGCAAAAAAGATAGGGTAACGATGGAATCGCCTTCATCCCATTGACTTCATGCCTTATTGCCATCACAATAGTAATGTACAGGTTGAACGTAAAGTCTTGTATAAAAGAGGGGAATCAGCTGATGAGGTTATAAGTCGTTATTGACTCAGTTGGTTAGAATACATTTTAGGTACGCCTAGTTATCTACGGCAATCCTCAATATTAGTTGAAGTAGGGTCTGTGTGAAAGAAATTGAAGAGTTGTCAGGCTAAAACTCGGCATCAGTTCATAGTATCTGATCATTGGGCTGATGAGTGTAGGTTTCCAAGTTGGTGGGCAAGTTCTAGGCGACATGGATTAATGTTGATCACAGTGTTTCAGGTGAGAAGCTGGCATTTTAGGATGAACACAGTCAGTGAATTACGACCTCCGTCACATTCAAACACATGTTATCTCACTTCATGTTTACTTACATGGTATTTCTGACACAAGTAATCTTGAGGAGGTGATTGTGATCTAGAATTCAGTGTTGTCGAACATCTCCATTTCAGAGAGGCCAAGTTTTGAAGTTTTAAAGCATAACCTCACGAATTTACGTGTTTAATACCCAAGCTTTTGTAGTATGATGGCTCTAATGGTGGTCCTGATCGGCGTATTCCACTCTGGCTTTCAATATACGATTGGGAATCTCAATAGTCAAACTTTTACTGGCAATCACAACCACCCAGGTACATAAACTTCTAGACAGCTGCTAGTAATTCATCACCAAGGAAGATTGTACGCAAATGCACCTAACAATCTTGTAAAAGAACTTTGAACCTCAAAAGTGCAAAGCATATTCCATGCTTACGGATACTGATCCTCGACTTTTTCGGTGCGATCCTAGTAGGCTGTATGTTGTCATACAATGAAACGATATCCTGCACGTATTCGAGGTCAAAATGTCTT